TTTTCAAAATGTAGCTGTCAAAAAAAAAAAAGACTAATTGCAGCCTTTGACATAGTTACTACCTTTCAATACCTGGCAACAACCAATGTCACAATATCAAAAAATAACAAACAAATCTAGAACTACATTACAAGAGGTTATATATATACACTGTATATATCTTTGTCAAATTAAGGTTCAGTAAATGCCCTTGCGTGCCTTGAAATTACAAATATTAGGGGAAAACTAAGATAAAAGAAATTAATTATCTTGACAAATTCACAGTTTGTGTCCTACATTACATGGTATCAACAATAAGCCCAATTTAATTTGGTCGTAACTTATGCTATAACATTGCTGTGTTATTTTGGTGATAACTGACAAAAGCGTTACTGCGGACGACATGGTGCAATGACATCAGGTAGCTTCTCCTGTTGCTTTTAACATCCATTCTCTGACGAGAGGGGTGACAATGAATCATGCTTCTTATTTAATTTCAGACAGTGGTCATTTAGTTTACTACAATTAACACAATTTGCTTCTTAGTTAGTAAAACTGTCAGCTTTCACACATTGCACCAGATGAAGCAACGTTAACTTGAGTTGTTAACAACACTTGTTAGTTTTTGTGCAGTAAACAGTAAAAGACATATTAAGATCTATATAAACCACCTGTTAAACAGACATGTAGAAAAGCACTGGTGTAGTTATAACTGGTCTGCAGGTGACACGTTTAACTAAACGACAGTGTAGTGGTTTAATTGCAATTTGTTACAGTGAAGCTAAGACCAAAGTGTCTGTTGTCTGAGTGTTAGTTTGCCATTAACCTGGAAAACTCTTCCTCACCAAATCATATGTATCATAAGTAAATATGATGTGATGGATCTCCCTGCAGTATATGTTATCAATATGTTTCCACGTACATTTTATCCATAACCAGCAGCTACGAAACTGCATTATTGGCTACAATGTAGCTCAGATGGTTAAAACAGAGCTCTAGAACTTGATACGAATGTGTTGGTCTGAATTGGGAGGAGAATGCAGCATTGTATCATACCGTATAGGCTGGCGTACATGATAAATAATCATAACAACAGTGAAATTATCATAGCACATGACATGGTCTCTGCAAAGCCACTTACATACCAGAAAAATGTTATTTGTAAAAGCTACATCATTGTAACACCTACCTTTTCTTGTTTGGACTGTTTGCTGAAACCATATCGCCTGAAGAAAAAAAAAAAACTTGTGACAAAGATGTGAAAATAAAGTAATTTTCTTTGCCTTTGGAATTTTAATTTTTTTACCATGCCACATTACATCAGGACGTCATAAAGGTATGCAAAATTAAGATAAACAACTCTGATAAAATAAATAAAAGCATACAGAAATGCATCAAAGCAAAACCACACTGTGCATCCACAATGCTAATAACACAGTATGTGAGATTGCATTCTCTGAGCAACGTGTTAAGCCACAAAACAAAGTGCTATGAGTAGAAGCTTGCAAAAAAATGCTTCATACGATACTTACAGAAGGAAATCTGACATTCTAGCACAGAGGCAGTGATGGAAGGATGGATGGATGGATGAAAAAACATGTCAGACAAACTAGACCTAAGATGGGGTTCACTAAGGAACAGAATGCTTGCGCAGTTGTGAATGCGTACATAGACTTCCACTAAGCCTCATGTAAACCCTTTGATGACTTTGATGATGAATTTAAGTCACTCTTTCCCTAGTGGACCCTTGCCTACATGTGGTCAAATATTTCTCAAATTTTTTATTCTTGAAAAATGGACATTCAATTCCAATTGTATAGTGCCTAATCATAATATACATAATCTCAAGGCACATTACCATAGGTAAAGACCTTCTATGTGTGAGATGCAAATAAATGACAGTGATATTCTTTGACAGTGAGAGGTACGTTTGAGAGCACACATATGCCTGATGTATAATCTTACCTGCCATATTCCAGCAGGGTGGAATGAACCCTTGACTCTTCATCTAGAAGCTGTCCTGCATCCTTCTGTCTCCTATACTTTCTTTGTGGTTTGTACATGTCCTGCAAAACACCAGTGTTCATTCAAGTCAAACATTATATTGAATACAAAAATACACTCACATCTGTTGGAAAAAAATTATCAGAAAACTGTTGGTTATTGTTGTTGCATCTACTTTTACTTTTTTACTTTGTTTATTCGACAATTACATAATTCCTTTTAATTATGTGTGGTGGCTTCCAAAAGTATTCAGACCATTTCACTTTTTACATAAATTTACAATTGTTGTGTTGTGGTTTAAACTTTAAATGCATAAAATATTCATCTTTCTCCATCAATCTACACCGAATAATCCATATTAAAAAGCCAATCAGCCTATTTACTAACTAGACGGGTACTCAGAGAGTGCATACCTCCGCCAAGGCTGATTGGGAAACACAAAGGCAAACTATCCGTTCTCTTATACAAGGATATTTGTTACCACACAGTAACTGAGTCAAATTACACATCTTTTCACCAAGTTTTGTGGTAATCTATCCTGTAGTTTTTGTGTATTCTTGCTATGTAACAGATACACAAATAAATGATGAAAAGCTTAACCTCCCTTGGCGGAGTTGAAAAGCATCCAGACCCTTAACTCAGTACTCAGTAGAGGGCAGAGTCTTCTTGAGTAAGTCTCCATAAGCTTTGCTCAGCTGAATTTGGGCAGTTTATCTTTATCTTTCTAACATATACTCTCAAACTCTGTCCGATTAGATGAGAAGCATCTAAAGTTCGATCTTCATGTCTCTTCACAGACGTCCTATGGGCATTAATTATGGCCTTTATGTCACTTAAAGACAGTCAGAGACTTGCCCTGAAGACTAAGGTTGATTCTCCCTCTCTTAAGAGGACTTCTAAAGCTCTGTTGGAGAGACTGTTCTTGGTCACGATCCTGGCCAAGTTGCTTCTTGTACAATCACTCAATTTGGCTGCATGGCCAAATCTAAGAGTCCTTCACATCACATTACAATTGTATGAGATAAAAAAAAGATTTTTGATTTTGATTCGATCCATCTTCTGCTGCTTATCAAGGGTCAGGTCTTGGTAGCAACATGTTGAACTAGGGAGTCCAGAAAATTTGGCTCACAAGCAGTGTTTTACAGCTCCAGAGGATCGCAAGGCAAGTGAGGTGCTGTTCATTACTATGCGTCTCCACTCTCCAGTGACCATTTGTCATTTGATAGCAAATCCATGCATAGTGTGCAGCTCTACAAAGTAAGATTTCACTTGTTTGGAAATAGAAGTTTAAAAAAAATCTATGTTTGACAAAGAATGTGGCCTAAAGTTAGCAACTCACCAGTACATCCAGAACTGTTTTCACAGCCTTGTCTTTCTGCTGGAGAAACTCTTCATCCTACAATACAAAGGTTAACTTTGAACATCAGCACTTATCAGAAGACAATTCAATGCAGTTTATGCATAATTATCACTTAAATTATTAGTAAAACCATGGTGGAAGATTATTACCACAAACTGCTGAATGAATATGTTGATATTGTTTTGATATTTTTAGTCCCATATTGTTATTTTGTGCTGGTATATCTGGTATATTTTTGGCTTACCAAACATCATGGCCCCCAATCGGTAATAATTTTGATATTTAATTTCTTTGACTTTTCAATGGTCGTATTTAAGGCTTTCTTTTTTGGGGATTAAACCTCTTAATTGCTTTTTCAGAATGCAAGCACACAATAATACAAAAAGTGGAAGGACTAAGTTAAAATAGAAAAAAAGATAATTGTTAGCTAAAAGCAAGACAAATGCAGCTTCTGAAAGATGCAGCCCCTAAATTGAGACAAAGCTGATGTGCTGCTGCCTTTGTTGCTTCTTCAGCTCAAAGGGAACTTGGAGAGTGTATACTTCCGCCAAGGCTAACATCCAATATCGCAATGTAAAACGGAAGTGAAAAAAACGTTCCTGGATCCACCCCTTTAATCAAATGCACTCCAAAACTTAATGGGGTTTTTTTTGGCCCAAACCCTACCTTTCAACTTCAATAAAATCAGTTCAGTAGTTTTTGCAATGAATTCCAATGAAAATCGATGGATGGATGGATGGATGGATGGTAATATAAAGTTTATTTGGCCACCATCTCTTTAAAGTCTTTTAATATTGAGTCTGGTCACATACTTGTTTTACTTTTCTTGTTAATTAAACAGCCTGTGTCACTGATACATTGCAATAACAGAGTGGTAGATTGGTTCATCTAACACCTTGCTTTTTTATGAGCTTACTGTTCCAAATACACATAAGATCACACTTCAAAAAAAAGTAGTGTACAAGCTTAAATTATTTTTTTATGTTCGGTTTGTAGAATTCATGGACAGTGACATGAAGTAAAACCTATGACTGAAATGCTAAGATGCCTCACTTTTTTGAATTTGTTGGGATTGTAGAAAAACGTGGTTATAAAGTAGTGTCACAGAGACACTAATCTTCTGGCTCTGTGGCCTACTGGTACTCTCACCTCTGGGAGGCTGTGGATCTTCTGGAACTGAGAAATGGAGTAAGCTCTCACATAGTCACCCATCTCTTCCCTTGTTTCTATGGCTCGTTTTACCAGCCACTTGCAGGAGACAAAACACACAGCTTATCAGATACAAGTCTAAACAAGGAGCCACAATATGCAAAATGTGTGTGTGAATTCATTAGATGAGTGTCCCCCATTAGGTGTGCTGAAGTTTCCTTGGGCAAGATACTGCAATTACACATCCAACTAAAAAGCCACTTCTTATCAGCCAATGTAAATGTCATTCAACTTTGGCATACAAATGAACAAATGTGGAAAAAGGCAATATTGGAAGTTTACTAATGAAATATTTACACGGTGCAGGAATGCAGTCTGCATATTTCTGACAGGTTGGTTTC